CAGGGTAGAGCTAATCAGGCTAATTCATTAAAGGTTCTTGGTGAGGAAGGTAACAGTAAAACACAACAGAATAAATATAAACTAAGAATGAATCCATCCATTCTCCACCACGCTTATCCCAAACCTTGTTGCAAAGAATGCTGGTGTCTATCTCCAGCTGTCTATGGACGAGAGGCGGGGTCCACCCTGGACAGGTCACCAGTCCATCGCAGGGCAATACGGAGACAAACAGGACAGACAACCATTCATGCACACCTAAGGAGAATTTAGAGAAACCAATTAACCTAACAGTCTTTTTTTTTTGGACTGTCCGAGGAAGCTAGAGTACCCAGAGAGAACCCACACATGCTCAGGGAGAACAGGTAAACTCCATGTAGAGAAGCCCCAGGCTGGGAATCGAAACTGCAAGTGCTACCCACTGCTCCACCTGAGCCAGGAATCAAACCCAGAACCTTCTTGCTGCAAGGCGGCAGTGCTACCCACTGCTCCACTTAACAGCCCAGAATGAATCCAGCAATGCGGAATTAATGAATGAAGAAATTAAAAACAAAGCCTAGTTTAAGTGCTAAGAAAGCTGGCATATGGTGAACAAATTAAACTAAGGTGGAGAAAAAAAACAGAATATGGCAAGACCCACAAATGAAAATCTTAATGTAAAACCCAACAAAGAAAAACTCCAAACAGGAAGAAAGGCGTTAAAATCTAACAAAAAACAAAACAAAAACACTCACACTTAAATAAAAGAGAAAACTAACATACAGTTAAAAAAAACCATGAAAGAAAATAGAACCATGAATGATGAAAACTGGGCTGTTGAATAAAAATTAAACCTTAGGCAAATGTGAGTAAAATGCATGAAGACGAAGCTCTGTTTTTAGAATTTGCTGTTTGTTTACAGCATGAGCTTAGCGTTGGACACCGCGCTGCGTGAACAGCAGCCTAATCCCCAAATGTGTCCCACGTAATAATCTGAAGCTCAGGATTTTATCACCCTGTAATACCCAGACGCCCAGTGATGCTTGACTTATTGGATGCTGAACCATAGTTTCAGGGCTTCCCTCCTTCAAAAACAATCTGCCCACTTTTAAATCT